TTTAGCTTTTGATCTGAGAAAAAACAAAAAAAGCTTTTTGTATATCTTGTCAAAAGTGAACCATGGTTGTATTTGTACTGTGGATTGATCCCAGACGTTTGCAGAGCTGTAGGGCACACAATGTTGACAAGACCGAAAGCACGGCATGTTTACTGACCTGCTAACACTGATCAAAGGTCTGTACAGTGACAGTGCACAAAGAGAGAACCACAGCGAGGAGGGAGGACAGTAAGACTGAAAGAATACATACAAAACCTCTGGCTCTATAAAGATGAATTAGTGAATGAGGTTTTTAAAATGTTAATGACTTGTTATCAGGTCTTTTACTTAAGTTAAAGTAGCAATACCACAATTTTAAAATTTCAGTCTGTTACAAGTGAACGTCTGGAATTCAAAATCTAAAGTTTAAAAGTATAAAACTAAACGTTCTATGCTGCCAAAATGGGCTCTGTCTGTGTTATTTCATTCATTACTAAATATTATACTCCTGGATTATTATTATTATTGATTTACATTTACTCATTTGGCAGACGCATATGAGGGCCAAAATACAAGCATCAACAGAGCATCAAGTACAGCACAGGATCTACAACTGACAATTGTAAGAGCTAATAACACTTATGGCATCAATGGGGTAAATACCTGGGGAAAGAAGAAAGAATTAACAACAAAAATGCAATCAATGCAAGAGAATTGTAAGAGGATAGAAGAAGAAGATGCACTGATGCATTTTAATGTTGGAGCTGTCTGCAGTAAAGCCAATTCTACCTACTTGATATACTTTTGTTGTTATTTTTAATTGAATGTATAACAATTTATTGTATTCTATATGCTAATTTTTATTGTTATTATCATTATTATTAGTAGTAGTATCATCAGGTCTTTAAAATCTTCATCTGCAAAGTAACTAGTAACTACAGCTGCCAAATATAATAATAATAAACTTTATTTACAAAGTGCTTTACATGGTTGAATACCCATTGGAAATATATATAAAAAAAATTCTAAAGTTCAAAAGTTAAAGGAAAGACAATTTCTGAAACAGCGATACAGATAAAATGGAAGGAAGCTCTAAAATGAATAAAAAGCTGTTTTGTGTCTTGAGAAGTGATTTAATAGATGCCACCGATCCTGCGGGCCTCAGGTTTTCAGGCAAGGCTGAATGCCCGAGGTTCTCGCTACGGCTCTTACAGGAGCAGCAATTCAGCACTTAAATCTTAAAATCAATTCTAAAACTAACAGGTGAAGGGAGGCTAAAACAGGACTGATGTGATCTTATCTTCGTGTGTTAGTTAAAAGTCCAGCGGCTGCGTTTTGTACTAGCTGAAAACGTGAGCAGCTGAGCCCTGAATACAGTGAATTACAATAATCCAACCTACATATACTGGAGAAGAGTCTTCAAGTCTTTAAGTAGCTTTTCAGCCTCTTTTAGACTCACAGTTCTTATAAACTGTGCAGGCAGCTGTTTTAGCAAACAAGTGACAGCAGCTATAAATCTGTCAAACAAGTGGAAACGATCACTTTTTATGTAAAATACGTAATCGATAAGAACAGCTAGTATATGGAGCTACAGTATATACTGTATTTGTTTTGGACCAACCATCAGATTTAGTTGTTCAGTCTATTTACATACAAGGAAGAGTGTAATAATGTCACTAAAGGTAATTTTAGGTGACGTTTTGTGCTTGAAATAATTAAGTATTATGTTTGTGTATCACTTTTTACTGTCCCTTGACAAGCCCACTCAATTGTATGACCTCTTCGGGATTGTCATATTGATCAATGCTTCAGCAGAATCAACAAATACATTATCATGCTTAAATGGTTTGACCAGCAGAGATCTCTACCTACTTATGATAAATCTCTATATAAGTGGGGAAAGTTATGTTAAGCCTCAAACCCTGTGCTAAACTTGAAACACACATGAAAATAAATAAGAACCTGCACACACACGTTATCACACATCCTACGCACTATTTATTAAAAACCTTCATTGGTGTGCACAAATGTCCACAAATCCGTGGCTCTTTGCTTCAAATACTTACAAGGTGTTTCCAGTTTACAAAATTATTTCACTCCTGTTGTACAGGTCAAATTAGCATTAAAACTGTGTTACCACATATCACAACTTTCTTCATGTAACTTTATAGTCTATATAATTCTCATGTGCTCAGTTTGACCCAATCAATCATTCTTTCTTTTTAAAGTGCCAAAAATGACAAATAAAAAACCCATCACATTTTCTGTTATTTTGAACTTATTCTAGGTTTTGCAGCAATTAATAAGAAAGTGTGAAAAACTCAGTGTGAACAGCAAATTCACCTTTTTCTTTTACAATACATTGGGATCTGTGCAGAATATTGGTCCAAACAAAGTCAAAATGTTTCTTACCATCATATAAAATTGTAAAAAACAAAAACAAAAAGGTAAACTTTCAATTGTTGAAATAAAGTTCAACAAAGTTCAAATGATCAACCAAAAACATATTGAAGACAGGATCGATTGGTTTAGCTGGCTGATAAGATGAACGTCTGGATGGATAGATGCGTTTGAGGGAAGGCAGGGTTCATAGGTAACTTTGCACACACAGGATTTCACAGTAAGATGGTCATTTGTTTCAAGGCAAAAGGCGAAACTTCAGAGCGATAGGGCCAGAGTGACTCGATGTCAGAGCCCGGCCCTCTGCTTGAAGGTTGGCGTCTATACAAATCTCCTCCTGGCAATCCATCCCTGAGGTCCCACTGGATAATTAGCTCTTATTTATTAATGTTTACCACAACTACAACAATGACAGTAGAGACATCCCTGAAGAGAAGCCTGTCTTCACACAGTAACATCCAGCAACATTTCTGTATAATTTCTGTATAATGCAGGTGTGCCGACACAGTAAACTGTCCTGCCTTTAGATCCAGTCTCTACTCCTAAAAACACTTGGGAAGAGTTGGCTCGGTTAACCTGAACAAACCACTAACAGTGAGCAGACAAGCAAAATCAAAATACATGAATTAAAAATGCAATCAGTACGTAAACAAATAGTTCAACATTGTGGGAAATATGAATATTTGCTTTCTTTTTTAGAGCAGGATCGGGAGATTGACACCACTACTGTGTGCTTTTAATAAAGAGCTGAGCAGAATGAGGATGTGGTTAGCCTAGCTTCAGGGGCGCCATATAGGGGGGAAAAGTTAGGACAATTCCAAGGGGCCCCAAAAAATATGTAAAAACTAATATAAAATAATATTATATTATACATTACATAAACCACGATCATTGAGTATAAACAGTATATTTGTCAAATATATATCAACTACATGCCCAATGGACCCGATTCCTACGAATCTCCTCCAAGCCATATCTCCTACTGTGGTCCCGACAATCACTCATGTGATAAATACTTCTCCGGCTTCAGGAACCTTCCCGACCACTATCAAAAGGGCTCGGGTTACACCCTTGCTCAAAAAGCCCTCCCTTGACCCAACTCAAGTTGAGAACTATCGACCAGTGTCTCTTCTACCTTTTTTATCCAAACTATTGAACTGGCAGTCTTCAAACAGGTCTCAGAATTCCTCTCAGGGAATGACCTCCTAGATCCATATCAGTCTGGTTTTAAGAGTGCCCACTCTACTGAAACGGCTCTTCTGTCTGTAACAGAAGCCCTAAGGTCAGCTAAAGTTGCAGCCCAATCCTCGGTTCTTATCCTGCTTGACCTATCAGCTGCCTTTGACACAGTCAACCACAGGATCCTGCTATCCGCTCTCTCAGCAATGGGCATCTCGAGTAAAGCACTCCTGTGGTTCGAATCCTATCTCTCGGGGCGTTCCTACAATGTTTTGTGGCAAGGACAATTATCCTCTTCCCACTGCCTCTCCACAGGGGTGCCCCAAGGCTCAGTGCTTGGGCCCCTTCTCTTCTCAATTTACACCACCTCACTGGGGGCCGATCATTCGCTCGCACGGCTTTTCTTACCACTGCTACGCAGACGATACGCAACTCTACCTATCCTTCCCGGCCGGCGATCCCACCGTCTCAGGCGGATCACGGACTATCTCTCGGACATATCAGCATGGATGAAGGCTTGCCACCTTCAACTAAACATCTCTAAGACTGAACTCTTGGTCATTCCAGCCAAGCAATCTAGCCACCATAACATCATACTACAAATTGACTCCTCAACCATCACTCCAACCAGGGTGGTGAGAAACTTGTGTGTCATGATTGATGACCAGCTGTCCTTTTCAGACCATGTTGCTGCTGTCTCTCGGTCATGCCGCTTTGCTCTATACAACATAAGGAAAATCAGGCTCTACCTCACTCAGTACGCCACCCAGCTTCTGGTACAGGCCATGGTTATCTCTCGCCTTGACTATTGCAATGCCCTCCTAGCAGGTCTTCCAGCTTGTGCAGTGAAACCCTTACAAATGGTTTAGAAAGCAGCAGCACGTCTGGTTTTTGATCAGCCCAAAAGGACTCATTTCACTCCATTACTCAGTGACCTCCACTGGCTCCCCGTGGCCTCCAGAATCAGATTCAAGTCACTAATGCTGCATACAGAGTGACTACTGGGTCTGCACCATCTACCTAAACTCCATAATACAAACTTACGTTCCTTCTCGGCCGCTACGCTCCTCCAACGAACGCCGCCTGGCTCTGCCGTCCCGTCACACAAAGCAATCCCAGTCCCGGCTATTCTCATCTTTGACACCACGATGGTGGAACGAGCTACCACACGCCATCAGAGCAGGGGCGTCCCTCTCTAACTTCAAGAAGCTCTTGAAAACTCATCTCTTCCGAGAACACTTCCTCTTATAACACCTCTAACTCCTAACCTCTAACATGCACTTCCTGTGCTCTTCTTCTTCTATCCCCTACAATAATCTTGTATTGATTGCACTTTTTTTTTGATTGCACTTTTTGTTAACTTTGACTTCCTTCCCTAGGTATTTACCCCATTGATGTGATATGTACTGTGAGCTCTTACTAGTATGTATTGTCAGTTGTAGATCTGTATTTGATGCTTGTATGTTGTTCCTCAAATGTAAGTCGCTTTGGATAAAAGCGTCTGCCAAATGAGTAAATGTAAACGTAAATGTAAAAGTAAAAAATCCCCATTGACCAAAAAGTAAACATCCATATTGACCGACCACCCCCCTGTATCTGCATGAAATGGTTTGGTCCTGCCTCAGCGCACTCATCAGTGACGGTGTTTAGTTGCATGGAGTAGATGAGCCAGAAATACAGTGCTAACAATGTTGCCTCGTAAACCAACATCTGGTTTTCAAAAAAGAGAGGAAAGACAAAGGAAAGGATGTCAATCTGTGCGCCTCCAAAGCGCACCGTAGCGCTCCCAGGTAGGCTTTTTCAGCTGGCCTTAAGTCTTATTCTAGATCTGTGGGTTGGTGAGGTTATTTAGAGACAAAACATTTCCAACCTCCACTAAATTCACAAATTATTTTTACATTTATGTTCGTGTAAAGGTTAAACAAAGAGATATAAAATGTTAAGTTTTTGATAGTTTTTCTTTTTTACATCCAGAGCTGTTTACTTCTATTTCCCGTCTTTATTCTAAGCTAGGCTAACTACGTCCTGACTCAAACTCAGACATCGACCTCTTCATGTCACTCTTTGAAAAGAAAGCAAATACGAGTACTTCAGTTAGAAGATGCAAAACTTGAGCAATGTAACCCAGAAGACAAACATCATGTAAACACAGATGGACCAGCGCTGAGATGTTTTAAAGTAGCTCTTGACGCAGCCAACAATTTGCAGTTGAGAACCTCAAAAGTGGCGACCAGAAAGATTGTTTGGTTGTTTTAAGTTAAAAAAAGACAGAAAAACAAACAAACAATCGTGTGAATGTGTGATCAGAGAAGCCAAACATCATCCGTCTGAGTTTGGTTTAGTCTCCACCTTCTCTGAGATCAAGGGGTCCTCGTCTGGAATAATGGCGATGTCACCTGTTGGGTGGGACGCAATCTGCAGCAGGAGCTTCTCTGATTGAAGCAGCTGATTGGTCCAGTCACGACACGCCTCTTCTATGCAAGGACCCTCTCCCCCGTATTCTGGAGGCAGGACGGGCGGTGAGAAGAAGTCGCTTAAAGTGTCGTTGAAATCAGCGCCGTGCATGTGAATCTACAAGTGGGGTGAAAATTATTTTCGAAGTAAGTTTAAAAGGCATTTCCACTCTGTAAAAGACAGTCTAAAGAACCATGATCGGTATCTGACAGAACAAACATGCTGCTGACCCTCAGTCTGATCTTATCCGACAGGAAGGGACGAATCATGGCAAAGACCGGCCGGAAGAACATCGGCTCGTTGACCAGATGAATTCCTCTGACTTTCAGTGGAAAAGATTCCTGAACATGAAAACACATACAAGGACAGTTGTGAAAACAAACTGGTTACAGTATAATGGTCATAAAATGACGTCTTCCATACAGATCCTTCACCTCTAATGATTGGTATGGACAATGGAGGGATAACTGCTCCAATGAGCTTGTAACTGGATAATATAATTTTTAGGCAAATCTAATAGCCACACAATACAATAGTCATGCCACTGTGTAACAAATGCATGCACAACTGTGTCTTCTAGAAAATCTCACTTTAATGATGTCTTGTTCCAGCTAAGTTCCTTAAATGTGAGTGGAATGTCCACATCTCCTGCCTGTGGTGTAAGAAGCTGTCTTAATGTGGTTAGTTGAGACCTAAGCCCGTTTTGTGTTTCATCTGCATGTCCACAAATGTCCTGCATCTGCATGTCCTGCTGTCCAGCTTTGTAGCAGAAGTTACATTTAAATTAAACAGTAAATTCAACCCAACCAGAAGAATGATCTTTCTTACCGAAAGTACAGAGGATATCTTTCTGGCGAGGGAAGGGTTAATCTGTAGGGCATGGGCTATACTCCACCCCTGCAGGTCAAATATGACCTTCACACCCTGCCTCTGTGTCTCTGTCTCCATGGAGATGATCTCTGATGTCATCAAGCTGACCCTGAAAACCTGGTAGGCCGACCAGTCTTTTGGGTTCCACTGCCCTGCAGACAGAAACACATTTTATTGTACTTTACTGGGTTACAGTCAGTCTTAAATCTACAGTAAGTGACATTTCTGTTATTATCATTGAATAAGTCCGTAGCTCTGCTCATTACTAGCCTTTAGCATAGGTTTAACGGGTGTCCACTGGAAAAATCTGATGCTAAACTGTAAATAAAAACTTATGGTAAATAGTCTGTACAACTACAAACCCTACCATTAGGCTTTAAAGCTGCGTTGAGTGTTTTTTGACCACTTGGGGGCAGTGGAACGAGCTCTAAACACAACATTGACATATTAGTTGCGTTTGACTTCATGTGAGGCATGCTGGTTTGAAATTTTGACCGACTTTCGCCAGTGCTGCAAAACGTGACCATGTCATATGACGTTAAACCTCGCGGCGAGGCAAGGCGGCTGCAGTTGCCCAGAGTCCAGTTGCTTTTCTCCGGCTGCACAAACTTTGAACCACCTTTTGACAGATCAGTCATTGTTGTAAGCTCATTGTAAGCTTACGCACTCTACAGGAGGTAGAACGTGTCCGACTTGACTGCAGCTCATCCCCAACGCAAATAGATCTAAGTTATGACAGCAACAGTTACTCACATAATCATTCCTATTCAGTGATTTTGCCTACAGAATAAAAGTGGGAGAATGTTTTTTGCAGCAATGCTTTATTTCAAGTTGAATTGAAAGCTTTTACTTTGAAAAGAGTCTGTGCCCTGCTTGACACATCTCTGAAATAGCTGTTGGTAAATGGAGAGATTGGATTCCCCTGAGTGAGAAGCGCAGGAATTTCCTCTGCCTGGAGATGCTGGGGAAATAAAAATAGGCGTCTCTAGGTTGATGGATGTGGACCAATTGCCGGAACGATGCGGCACACTGCAGCGGATGCTTTATTGTTAGCATGTGACACAGTCTCTTCATAGTTAATTAGTTACATTTACATTTAGTCATTTATCTGACGCTTTTATCCAAAGCGACTTACAATTGCTGTATATGTCAGAGGTCACACACCTCTGGAGCAAGGAGGGGTGTCTTGCTACACAATGGTGGATGGGTCACAGTGGGGGATTGGGTCTCTCACACCAAAGGCATGTGTCTTATCCATTGCACCATCACCAACCACAGTTACAGAGGGAGAGTAAAGATATCGGCTCAACATGGGAATCAAACACAACCATGAGATTCAGAGTTCTGTGCTCTACAGACTAAGTTAACCTACCATGCTGACGCTTAAGCGTAATTTACACTTCTGCGTCGGGTATACGCCGCAGCCTGTGGCGTCAGCTACGCATGTAGCAGGCCCGGCGCCAGGATGAAGTAACTGAAGGCTCTTGCAGACTACATGACTTTCAGCAATGGCCGATGGCCATGCCGTTCACACTACACAACTTGCCGCTGGCAAGTCTTGAAGTCGTTGTGGTGTTCACAATACGTGACTGATCGGTGACAGGGGGTCACAGACTACACGAGCTGTCAGTTTTGTCAAGAAAACACACGTGAAATGTGAAATGGTTAATGACGTGAACCTACACACGAAACAGCTGTTGTTTGTTAGTATAAAGATACCAATTATAAAGACAAAAACTCTGTGTGAAAGGATGGATTAGCACACGCAGGTAGCAGGGATTGTCTGAGCTATAGAGAGAGCTGGAGGTGAGTAAAAAGTGTTTTGCGGTGAAAAAGTAGCTGCCTGCTCTGCCAGCAGCCTGCTCTCATTGGCTGGATGTGGATGTCGAGTCGGCCGACACCTCCAGATATTTGGCATGCTAGATATCTGGCAGACGTTGGTGATGTGTTGGAAATGTGTCGGGGAGCCGTTTTGATGCGTCATTGAGTAGTTCACACATAACGACTGGCGATCAACCGCTCATTTACCCCCCGATGAAAAAAGGGTCGTACTTATTGTAAGAGCCAATTAGCGCTCTTGGCATAAACAGGAACCAATCTTTGGTTCCTCGGATGCTACCCAGAAGCACAGACAGTTTATGACCACGCACACACGAACATACGAACACACCATACCAGTGCAACACATGTGCAATGAAGTTTGTATGGAGAAACAATGGAGATGGATGGAAATAAATTGAAACTGATGGTTTTAACTGCAAATACGACTTGGACTTTTATTAATCAAACAAGGTAAACAGCTCCATGGTGCAGTGCTGAGGAGGAATTTAAGCTGCTGTGCAGTTCGGTGCAGCGTTAAGAATACATTAAGGGCTGGATTTACTATGAATAAAGAGTACTAAATTGTGTGTGCATTCTAAAATATTGCACGTGTAACTGTAGTACCTGTTTTGGTTGATTAACTAAGAATTATTGTGTAATAATAACATAGTAGTAAATACGTTTTATTTAAAGGCGTCTTTCTGAACATTTAAGGTCACCGCACAAAACATAATAAAACAGTACAACAATAAATCGATAAAATTGACAACTACAGTACATAACTGGAAACAAAGATGGCAACAGGTGCAAACACAGTGGAGGTGACTGTTGGTTTTGTTCTGTTGTTTTTCCTGGGTTTATTCTGTCTTTCTTGGTTTGTGGTTTTGTGTAGCCTTGTTTATTATTTCGGTTTTGTTAGTTCTCTTAGTATCTGTCTTTCTTTGCATCTTAGTTTTTAGTCCTGTAGTTTGGTTTTGTGCCTTAGTTCATATCTTGGTATCCATTCCTCGTTCAATGTTTGTAATATATTGGTCTTGTCTGATCTGTGTTCTGTTTATTCTAGTGTTAGTCTAGTTTCTGGTTTGATTGTAGTTTATTTGTAGTATTTAGTTTTCTGTCTGCCTTGTGTTGATTTGTGTTCTCTGTCTGGTGATTTATTATTTGACTGTGTTCAGTCTTGCGTGCTTGTTTCCTGTCATGTTTAGTTTGTATTTTGGTGTTCAGTTATGTTTCTGCATTTTGGTCTGGTCCTGTCTGTTCCCTCGTTTGGTTTCACCTGCTTGCCTCTGTGTCTAATTACCTCATGTCCTCCACCTGGTCTTGGTCCTACCCTGCTCGTTACCTGGTGTTTAAATGTTGGCTTGTGCTGTTCAGTCTTTGTGACGTCCTTCGTCTGTGTTGAGTGTTTTGCCTGTTCTCTGTTCCATGGATTTATTCCCTCATGTCTGGATTTCTCTGCCTGTGCTTTGGATTACTTTTGGCTATACCTCAGTTTTGGACTTTGCCTTTGCTTGCACATAAGCCTGTTTTGTTTTGCATTAATAAATCTCTGGCTGAACTGCATCCTTCGCCTTTGGTCTGCATTAGGGTCCACGCCTCTGCTACCTAAAACTGCACTCAGCCACCCATGACAGCGGCAGTATTTAAATGAGGGTTTTGCTTGTTTTAACGGTTTCCGCCTTGGAGAGTCGGGAGGGAAAGCAGCCACTGCGTAAAAATCTTGGTTTGTTTCATTCAGTGCGTCCCTAGTATGTGGAAATTGTTATGTACCTGCCCCAGCAGAAACAGCTACAGTGTGCTGGAATGACCCAGATGGGAGGAAATGCCAGCAGATCGTGCTTCATCCAGCCAGAGGGAACGACCACCGACCATCAGCACCGTGCCCGGTCGCTCCGTGATGTCCTGTCCCTGTACGCCCCAACTCCCCATTCCCTCTACGATACCTACAATGGTTTGTGTCGCTATTACAACCGGCGCACTTTGAAAAGTTGGTAATTGTCAAAGCTTCAAGGCAAATACAAAAAACAATTCAATTCATATAGTTCATCAAATAAATAAAATGAAATAATTGTATTTATATATATTGGATATTGAATAATATTATCTAAAATTATTAATTTCTCTACGTCTTCTTTCGTCATGGCTGTGTCTCAATAACAGCAGCCATCTCTGCACAACATTTTGCGGTTTGCACCTTCCTTTCAAACGTATTAAATAGAGAAGCTGCTGCACTCACATGAAATTGCTTTTAGGCTTGTTAGATCACACTGTGTGTAGTAAATAAATGTATTTGCATTTTATCCTCCCATTACTTTTCACAATAAAACTGAAACACCCCAATCTGCATATTCATTAAGGCAAAAGTAGTAAATGAACAACAGGTGCTATCTTGCACTTTTGAAAGACGTCATTCTAACGTGCACACCGTTAGTAGATCAGCTTACATGTTAATTTGCTGGTGATATCAAGTTTGCACACATTTTTACTTACGCAAACCTTTAGTAAATCTGGCCCTTCAACATGACACTCTGACACTTCAACATAAACGAGGACCACAATGGAAATAAGTTTGTGTTATCCTCGACAGTTCTGATAAATGTATAATGTCACTGCGATGGCATCATCTGACATCTGATTATTTCAACTTCTGTATACTGTTGAGTTGTATGCCATTTATAATTAATATAATGTTAATATAATTATATTAATTATAGTGAAGGAGCTGTTTTTTGTGAACATAAAGAATCTGAAACCACAAATCAAGAGCTGACAACATGCAGGAAATATGCAGCAGAGGCAAAGTTGATGATGATATCTACAGATGGGAACAGGTCTGATGGAACAAATCAGAAACATCAGGGGTGGAGGAGTGTTAATAACTCCAGAAGATTGCAGTAATGCAACATCAAGGATACCAGCTTCTGTTAATGCTCAGGAAGGTCAGGTCAGATCACTATTTATACCGGTAGGTAAATTTGTCTTGAGGGGACAAGTCAGAAACAAACACAGATAGATAAACATAATGAAAGTACTTCTGAGTGATGGCCGCTGAACCAACGCTATTTTTATACAGCTTTGTTCTGCATTTTGGGACAATAAACCTTCGACTAGAAGGACGAAGCAGAAATTAATTGTGCAAAGAGTGGGAGTCATTTGAAATCAAGTCAGTTATCTACTTTAAGTATATTTGCTTGCTAGCACTCTTCTTCCCTGCATTTGCTGGCAACTCTGTGGACGTACTACGCTGCTATTTGGACAGTTTTGCTTTACCACCCAGCTTGTGACTTTTTGTATCTTCTTGTTTGACAATAAACACAATGAACTGTCCCCACAGACCCGCAGCAATGGGCATGAAACACAGCACTCTATAATAATTCCAGTGTTTGAGCCAATTGCTAATTAAAATAATGTGGTATAGCCTAATAATAATAAATAATAATATTGTTAAGGGACAGAAATACGACAATTATGTATTATGTTCAATATTTAGGCTGGGCTATTTGTTTTTTAAGTCTATCCTTATAATGTTAAAAACACAGACATTTTATTTTGAAGGCGAGCGGTCTCTGTTTCCGGTTTTAGAATTTCTTGTTCAATTTCCATTGTGCAAGTTGCATAATGGAACAAGCGGACGCTTTTGTGCGCTAAATTGCATTGCACGTCTTCATTCTATGCGACAATAACACAGAATAGTGCTAACATAGTTTAGGCAGCATTGGCCCAGGAAAAATGAACTCACATGGGTCAACATATGTTTGCAATAGCACAAGTGAGACAATGAAATTAGATAATAAACTGTTATTTTTCATCATACAATGTTAACAACTGCAGATGAATTATACTTCATGCACGGACCCTCTTTAGTCTGCATTTGGGTCCTACTCCTGTTGTCCTGCTCACACTTGTTACCTGCAGTGCTGTTAAATTATCCCAGACCTCCTGTGTGTCTGTGTTGAGGATCATTGAGAATATCATTAACTTCGGCTAAATTACAATGTATAAAGAAACTGGCCATAGGTTTATCCAAATGCAAAACAAGAGGGCATCAGACACAGTTATATGCTTTGTTTAAAAATGATATCTGTAGACTCTCAATGGAGTATGTGAGTGTTCAGGGCAATCAATTAATTTCAATTACATGCTAAGTTACCGTAACGTGGAGACTCTTGTAGTAAAATCACAGCAGGTCAGCTGAACACGCAAATGTGTGAAATTTGTCTACAGGCAAGCACAAAGTTCAACATAGACAAAGAATAAAGTTTCTTGACAATTAAATAAATGGATCCTGTTTTTATTTGGGTTTAAATTTAACTGTTCTTTCAAGTAAATTCTTCTGAGAATAACAGAGTAATAATAGAGTTGTGGCTATTTGATGCTTACATGTGGAGTTATAAAGCTCAAAAAACAAAAACAAGAAAAACAGGCATTAAGAGAAAACACATCTGTTCTGTGCAGCATTACTGTACATCACTGCTTTTGTTTAGAGACACACACGCGTATACTGACCAATCCTGTAGACGAGCACCCTGCTGCCAGTGTGGTCGCGCTGCGGGAGGACGGCATGGTAGGATGTGTTGAGGAGGCCGAGCACCGAGCTGGGAGACAAACAGGTGCTGATCTCAGGACTCTCCCTCCGCCACCGCTGGTAGTTCAGTAAGAGCTGCCCAGGACACATGCAACGTTCAGGGACACCAGGGAATTCATGATTCTACTACATCACTTCCAAGATGATATGTGCTTTATAACCTTTTACCTACGGTTCAGGACATTAAAATCCAAGCCGAGGTTGCTGGGTTGGAATAAAAGCAAATCCAAATAACTATTTGAGCGGGAACAGAGTTTTGTGATGTGCACGAGTGATTCCAGTCAAAAGTACAGACTGCTGAGCTCAGACCCAGTTGGCTGAGCTCCAGCTGCTCTCAAATAAACTTGAGCAACTCAGCCTTCACTTTGAGCTCTCTACGTCCTCTCTTATGAGTTGCGTACAAACACACTGACAGACTCAACATGCTCAAATGAAAGGCTTGAACTGTGAGTGTCTCCTGCTGAGCACTATAGGCTTAAACCATTTCTGTAAACCTAGTGAAAGCCACTATTTAACATGCTCTTATTTCTTTATCTTCCTTTTTTGTGTTACTTCATCACTTTATTCATTTCTACACCAATTTCTGCATTAATTTATGGTGGTATTTATATAGCGGAAAAAACAAAATTCAAGCAGCAGGGGACAATTTACAATATAAACCTCTAACAGAATCTAAGTCAGTTATAAATGTGGTTGTGGCACCTTTTCACAACAATGATACATTTATTTAGTTATAAACTCCTGGACTTTAATAGCTCCTGTGTTTCAGCAGGTTTTCTGCTCATTCAGAATCTCTCCCACATATCTGTGTTCTCTGACATGTGCAGAATGAAGTTGTAATATTTTGAGGAAAATAACTAATATTATGAGAATAAAATCTGAATTTAATGAGAAAAAAAAGAAGATATGGTAGCACAGTGTGCTGTTTTCCTCGGAGGTGAAAACCGAAACTAAACACTTCTGATCAGGCAGAAATCTCACCACAAATCCACACAAATGTTAACTTCAGCACGTCCAATAAAGAGCAGCTCACACTCCGCTTCAGTGGTGACTGTTATCCATTTATGTACCAGCTTTTGAATAATGTTTAAAAATAATTGAACTAACACACGTACACATTAATCTGTAGTGGTGATTAGGCTAGTAACTATTGAACGGTTCATACCACATTTAAAAAAGTAATCATAATGTGCTTAAGTCTGCACAGTTTAAAATCTCAACACATTTCAACCCTCTTTTTCTCAACATATTGTCTCCCACAATTACTTCACTATAGTTAATATGTTCCTTTAAGCATTCATAAATCAAAGGTATAAGACAAAGCTGAAAAATATTAGTTGTCTAACGGCTTATGTATTGTGTTTTTATCCTTAACTTTTCCTCTCCTATACTCCTTATGTTAGTCTGTTCCCATTTACTAGGGTTTAGGTCAGAGCAGTGAGATTGTTTTGGTGTTTTTTGATCTCTGTTCCCCAAAACACAGAAACCTTGACTGCGTAAATGAATATGCATCACTTTGCTTGGGGCCAGACGCCCAAAGCCACCCTAGGCGGCAGGTCTCTGGATCAGCTGTATATGTGTTTGAGTACTTCTCTGTTTATTCTCTTTTATTAATAAGTTCTTCAAAGACAACGGTTGGTTGTTACTCAAGTATTTGCACAACCCCTCACCAGGAATATCATTTCCACGAGAATTGTCACTGTATACATGTCCCTATCATCCCTACCTAAGTCTCTTCTATACAGCAGCTAAATGGAATTCAGCCATTATTCAGTTTATTATTGACACTTGTGCTTTTCCTACTGTGACATGTCGTAATATTTGCTATGAAATACACTGTCTACAGCACTAATTCTTTGGTGGATAATATTTACGGTTTTAAGCTGAAACTATCTGCATGGCTAGTTCATGTGCCAATAAGTGTATGTGTGATATGTGTTTGTGACTGATCCAACTGTTTAAGGGAGAATGCATCACATTTAGCAGATAAACTCTCACTAGCCAAAATAAATGAATGACATTATGATATTTCTTATGTACTGTAATCATATCAGCTGTCTGTTCAGCAATACATGACAACAAACAAAGTTATGTGAAAGTAAAATCACAGCAAAAACAAAAGTAGTCTACTCAGGTGTTGGTCAAGGAGGAGCAAATTTAAAGTATTGTATATACTCGTTTGTACAATGCATCAGATTATATACACTTCTGCACATTTATTATTGTATTATTGTATGCACATCGTGAGCATTGTACAATTCAGATTCAAATTCCTCATATGTGTACACATACCTGGCAAATAAAGCTGATTCTGATTTGTGATATGCTTTGTATGTAAAATCTAAAATTGTTATGTAACTAGTAACTATAGCTGCTAAATAAATGTAGTAGGGTAAAAGTTCAGGAGGGTAAACACAGCATCAAAACCATTTGCTGTAGCCTGTTTTACACACCAGCCTTTTAATAACTCATCTATTAAACAGGTAACACCCAGTAAACCTTAAGCTTTTAGCTTAAACGCTTGTTCAGTCTGGTGCTTGACACATACACAGCTTCTTTAGTTATAGACACGACTAAAGAACTTATTGTTTGTCCAATAACTGCGCAGTAACCAGGCGCACTGTGCGTGCTGCTTTTGATATCGGTGAGACTCTGCTTGCAGCAATCCTCCAGGAAGACACTAAGACAAAAACATCCTCCCCAAACTTCCGCTGAGTCAAAGTTAACTTGAATTTCTAAAAACTGACTAAACGCTACAGGATCTCTCTCTACTACCGTGCACGCTCATTATGTTAGAGTGACTTGTTTGTCCTGGAGGGAGGTGGTGAAGTTACCTTCAGAGAGAGCTCCTCGTCGAAGTCTCTGGCCCGCAGAAACTTGCAGAGAAAGGCGTCGGAGAAAGTCCTGACCGCGGACAGCTCGCTGGCCTGCAGGGCTCTCCGCCTCAGGCTGCTCACATGCGGCCTGAGCTGCTCCGAGTCGTCCGGGAGTTCACTGAGCTGAGGCCCGTTCATGGCGCACCGAGGGTCCGGTTACATTTCACTGTCCTCTGCCTGCTGCTGGAGAGGGTTAAAGGGAGAGGGGGTGATCCTTGATAACGGCAGATTGAACAAAGTGACCAATAGTTGGAGTCATGTTGCCTTTCTCAATGACGCTGCAGCCAAACAGTAAACAGACCTGTGACCCAGAATCACTACGAACTTCAGCTTTGAGTAAATAGTTTTGGACTCGATGTGGAAACTTGCTTTCTGTCCAATTCAAAAACAAAGCTGTTGACACCCAACAGCTACTTTACCAGACTATTAAATCGCAGCATTCATTTTTTATTTAAAGTGCAACACACTTATCAGACATGTCTGTGTGGATAGGATATTATTTCTGCAGAAGAGAAGAGTCTCAGCTGAAGAGGGGAGGGTTGTGTTAAACTGAGCATAAAGGCTTCATCTCAGGGTTTCATACCAAGGGCGTCACTTTGTGTTGAAAAGTGGTGGGGACATCTTAGGGGTGTGATGAACACTTAGTCCGTGAGACGTGAGGATGCACAATATTGGAGTCACGAGAACAAGACAACAAGATGCTCCAATGCTATGTAGAAGAAATATTCATTGATAAAATAGGGTATTCAATTGGGGGGCATTAAACTATTAATTTCCTGCATTCTAGAGACATTTTCTGGACCAACTTATGGTGGAAATGTTTTTATTTATATGAAGGGAAACAAAATTCAAGTGGCCGGTTACAATTCAGATATGAAAATATTATGGAATATAATGAAGTAATCAGCAGCTAGTTTTTTTTAGCCTAAGTTACTGTTTTTGGACAAGGCAGATCTGTTTCTTCTATATTTACAGTGCATTCCATGTTTTCCTGTTGTGCACGTAAACCTTTCTCGTAGAATCTTTATTTTTTACTTAACATTTCTTGTTGCACGCTAATTTTCAGAAAACCTTTAGCAAATGCTTTCAAAAAGTGGTGGGGACATGTCCCCAGCGTCCCCGGTGTAAATGACGCCTATGTTCATACCTGATCCAGCCATATTCTACGTTTGTACCTGGTCTTGTTTTATGAATCATGGAGAAAGTATATTTTGAAAATACAAAATTATTCCACTCTAATGTATCTTGTTTTTTTCAGCCCTGTCAAATACCAATTACAAAATAGGCCTACTTGAAAGTAATTAAAATACAAGTAACATTACAAGGAAATAAACATTCACTAACTTTAATCTTCAGTCTGTTCTGGAGGATTAACTTCTTGTTCTGAAGCCACTGCACCAACATCTCCCCCTTTTGGTCACCAGCAGCTACTGCAAGCCCACCGCCTCTGCAGTCACACATCATCATCATCATCCAGGGCTCCACGCTGAGCTTTTTCCCCCAAGGAACACATGTGCTCATCAATTTCTTTGCGTGCTCCAAAATAAAAATATTTAGGAGTACGCAAAGAAATTGAGGAGCACAGCGAAAAATGTTAAAGCAACACAGAATAAATATATATAAAACTGTTTATTATCTACATATTTATACTCCATGTCTGTGTGCTCCTTCCCCTTGTGTTGAAATTATGATGTGAAAACCAGTGGAGGACTATTGAAGCGAAGACCCTGGTGTCTGGACACTCCTCAAGGGTCTTTAAAAATACTGTCAAAGCTTTTTAAAATATTAAAAAACCCCAACCCTAACCCTTTTAACTCCAGACAAACCACATTTAATGTAAAGAAGATAACTGGACAATAACTTCAGTAAAACAGAACAGGGGGAGCGTGTTGCTCTCAGGAAGAGGTGACACACATGGCATCCTGACTCTGGATAAATCACTGCAGAGACTCTACCCACAACCTGGAGGAGGAACTAGCATAAACGAGTGTACTGGTGTAATAATACTAAATAAAAAGTATCATTTAATAGTATGTCACAGTAATCGCCCACTTTTTTTCACTCCCCGTTCATTTGACCCATTAAATTTACCAAAAATCCTTATCTGAGGAGTTTTATGCACGGTGGACCGGTGGATAGCGCTGTGGTGTCACAACAAGAAGGACATGGGTTCAAACCCTGGTTGCCCAGGCCTTTCTGTGTGGAGTTTGCATGTTCTGTACAGGTCCACGTTTTTATTATTAGCGGAATATGCAACTGAATTTGAAGATGGTTGAGTTTACACGTAGATAATATTCATTAACCTGCCTCACAGCCTTTCTTTAGTGGTCAAAATATATTATAGATCTACAGAAATGTGCCATAATGGTCACAAAGTATATGACTCCACTGTCCAACATGTGTTTTAAATGAATGTCACTACTATGTGTTGACAACACAGGGGTGGTGATGGAGCAGTGGCTAACACACATGCCTTTGGTATGACCCGGGTTCAAATCCCCACTGTGGCACAACCACCAATGTGTCCTTAAGCCGCTCCAGAGGCGTGCGACCTCTGACGTGCTTAGCAATTGTAAGTCGCTTTGGATAAAAGCCTCAGCTAAATGAATAAATGTAAATGTAATGTAACATCGTGCCCACGCTACAAGTCACTTGGGGACGTTCCCCAACCAGAAGCCCTGGATAAACAGTCAGGTGCGTCACATGCTGCGTACTCGCCCTCTTGCATTTACATCAGGCAATGAGATGACAACAACCTCACCCTTAATAGTGACAAAACGAAGGAGGTAATAGTGGACATGAGGAAGGAGAGGAGACCTCATCCGCCACTGATCATCCGGGAGCTTGAGGTAGAGAGGGTGAGCAGCCTCAAATATCTGGGCGTCCACATCAGACTCCACACAGCTGGTCAAGAAGGCTCAACAGCGGCTGTACTTCCTGAAGAGACTGAGGAAGTTCGGTATGTCACCTAAGATCCTCAGCAACTTCTACAGGTGCACTGTTGAGAGCATCCTGACCAGCTGCATCACCGCGTGGAGTGGCGAACGCCTGCAGAGAGTGGTGAAGACAGCTGAGAAGATCACCAGGACTCTGCATCTACCATCAAAGAGTCCACAGGACAGCTGCCTCCATTATCAAGGATCCCACCCACCCCCGACACGAACTGTTCACACTTCTACCCTCGGGTCGGAGGTATAGAAGTGTGAAATGTTAGGACTCCATAATCCTGCCCGTCTTACGCTGCACCATGCACAATTTACACATGTATATAATTCATCAGTTGCACAACTGTTAATTCGTCTGCCTGCAAGTGTAAGTGCAAGTGTATACATTTGTTAATACTTATTCTACATCTGGTGGGTTTACAGTTTTTATATTTGAAGCTTATTTTATATCTCTCTCTTATTTTTTTTGTTGTATTTTTATTTATACATATATTTCATTTTGCTTTTATTGTAGGCATTTGATGTGGACAGCAAAGTAAGAATTTCAGTGTACAGGGAAACGTCTGAAAATAAACACTTTGAATCTTTGCATCTATGTAGCTTACAAATACATGTACATTTTGAAATATTTTAGGGGGCTGGTGAAATAACACCTGCACACTGTAATGCAAAGCTTGAAATAAATCATGACTTTGTGAAATGTTTTTTGACACCATCATAGAGGTGTTGATCTGTGCTGTAGCCGCAGTTTGTTGGGTTATATAAGTTTACTTCTACTTTAACACAGCTTTTGCACATCTGGCACTCCTTCGTTCTAAAAAGTCATTCAGGGGACCGATTACTGCCACGTAATTAAATGCAAGGTTACAAGATAAAAAATATTCTAGATTATTGATTTAGATAAACATATTGATGAGTTGTGTTAACATAATAATGTTGGTAATTAAAGAAAGAGGGATAAAAGTATTAGAGGAGTGTTGCTTTTTTTCTTTCATCCAGTGTTGCTTCCCTGTCTATTAAATCTGCAGATCGAGATGTTAGGTGTACTATTTGTATAGCAATTTATTTTGGATTTGCTACCTAAGTTAAAGAATATTCTTTGGTATCTTCTTTCGTGTAACAGGGAAAGGTAAGACAGGTATAGCTTGGAGTCATCAGCTGACCCCACAAGTGTTCACTGACCTTCCAGCTCGTTATTTCTCTCATGTAACTGTCCTTGTTAGGGAGACAATAGTTAGACAGATAAGGTAGAGACAGCAGCTCAGGCGTCAGACGAGCACATATCGGTGTTCTCTGCGAATCTTACAAGGTTGAGTCTTACAAGAATGTTTACAAGAACTCACTGGCTCCGCAGATTAGACTACAACTCATGGATTCAATAGATTCTAATATGACGAAGCATCGGAGAGTAGATTAGTTGTTCATATAGTGATAATTGTACATATCAGAATGTAAAGTTGAAACCTTATAAATCATCTAGCTACACAAATCCCATGTGCTCTGTCTCAGTACAGCCCAACGGTGGCCGTGACGCAATAGAGTAAGGCTTATGAGACTATCTACATCATTTAACCTGCGTGGGGACAGATTAGAGTACAACTCATGGATCGTAATAGATTCTAATGTGACGAAGCATTGGAGTCTAAACATCAGATTTGTTCTAGCTTAAGGCCAGATAAAGATGACCTGAGAGGGAAAACCTACAGGAACAAGGAGGAAGACAGAAACATAAAAGGGACCAAAAGATGTTATCCTTCAGATTCGGTGTTGGCATTTGACGTGTTCACATGTTGTATGCTGGCACTGTATCTCCTCGGCTGGGCTCAATGAACCACACGGTGCTAAGTCTTCATCGGTCTCTGAAACTTCTTCTTCACACCTGAACCTGGCTCTCAATATTTCCTCATCTATCTACTACTGTATACATTTGTAGAGAACTTAACTTTGAACACAGGTAGCTAGTCATGTATTCAAGTAAACATTGAATGCAGCATGTAATTATCCTTAATCCTTTGGCAGGGTGGAACAACCTGTGTTGCTGGTACCATTTTCTTGCCAGGTTGGCCTATAGTATGTTCTATTGAATTTTGTTTTACTTGTTTGTATTCATGTATAGTCCAATGTTGAGAGCAGTGAGTGAGAAAACATTTTGCTGTAATGTTTAGATCCCATACTGTGTTCATTAACTAGGATGTTGCTGGAATCAGTACAGTCAGAGACCCCTGATCTTCTAGTACCGGTGCTGTGAGGAAGGATGCTACTGTAGATGGACAGTCATTGTTTTAACTGTACATGTAGAGATGTTATAAATGTGTGCTCTTTAAAAAGTAGTGAATAGTATGGTT